AGGCCTGAATTGAAGATTGAAGTCTGACGGTCTGTTTCTTGTGTTCCCTACCCTTCGCAGCTTTTCTCTGCTTTTCACTGAAAGTCCCCTCCAAACCTTATCATAAAGACGGAGAAACGAATCACTTGCTACCTTTTTACAAAAGAAGACCTGAATGCTTTTAGCGGTCTGCACCCCACAAACTCATTTTGAGACAGACGGGGAGGCAGTATATGACAAAACACTGTAGCCTGTCTGTTGCTTCAATACTCTGGGGGGAGGAGATGGTTAATTTACTTTCCTCAGAGTGTCCGCTCGCGGGAGTAAGCGTAGTCCGACGGACAGAGTGCGCGTGACCGCGTCGAGGGCGCTCGGGAGGCCGAGACCATTCCGGCAGGTCAGTCGTCGGCCGTAGACGCGGCGATTTCACTCCAAATGACACAAATAAGTAAACAAACACCGAAAAGAAGGAGCTTCTAGTTTAGAAATTCCCAACGTCGACTGCCAATGGCACGCTACAGGAAATAAGTGTTGGATACAATCGATATTTTCAATTGAAACTAATTTATATAACGTAAATATATATGAAGTTTCAATACAAAATTAATAAAAGCTATCACCGCTGATCCGCAGATTAAAATTGCGTGCCGATAACACAACGTAAAAGAGATGACTTTGCCTTTTAACACAGCCGGCACAAATGCACAGTAAGGCCTACTCTGCTTTAAAACGATAAAACATTGACAATACACAAAATCAGTATCGATTAGTTCGCACATTTACCAATGCTTTATTAACTATGGAGATACTTCGCGTAGAGCGGCACAAATGTCAAAACAATTCTTGCATCTAGGGACATTTTATTGAATTACAACCAAATCCAAATTATGTTCAATGTTTGTATTAATTCGAGAAGTCCCCTGACTTTGAATCACTAATACAAGTTCAGGGAAGTGTTACATGATAGAAATCAAGCGTATTCAGACTGATTGCTACGTATTCTTGTGAATCTTGTGTTTAGAGACCCGCGGCTAGCAGAAACTAGCGTCAGAAGACGCTCATTTAAGAAACAATACGGGCACTGAATAGCCTCCGTACGTCCTCGAAAATGGATACACAGGCAATCTGTGACGGCAAACGGAAATTGTGTTATCACCGTATCTCAGGTTGACAGATCCGTCTCCAGGAATATGAGACAAAGTACAACGGTTATACGTAGATCCGAGTAGAGACCAAATACAAGACGGAGAATATATCATAGCAACTTCATTCTGTTTTCTTTAGAGTTCTGTTAATTGATCTCTACTCCTGGTTACAGAAATAAAAGGTGTTCACTGACGATTTAGAAAGCAAACAAGAAACAGAGGAAAGTCGAAATTCTTTCACAAATTAGCAAGAACTTAGCCAAAGAACCATTTAAAATCGTTCACAGCATCTTAAATTTCGTCAATGTCTAAACACGTCTGAGGATGGAATTAACGTGTTCGTGTTTGTACCTAAGTAACTAAAGTCGCATTATTTATTTTCAATCACATTAAAGATTTGGATGATTCTGAAATGAAAATCACTAAAAAAAATTTGGAAACAAAATGCTAGAAAAACGAAATCGGACGATGTTAAGTAAAGGGCACTTCAGTGATTAGTAAAAGTTGCGATACGTAGACCCTTAATTCCGGAAAACTTGTAGTTCGAATGATGGAAACATTAAATACATTCATAATTTCTGAAGGGAACTTATTTGACAATGGGTATTGGATGACGACAATGAAATAAAGTTTGCGGGACCAGGGTGGGTCAACACGGACTTCCATGAAGTACTTCGTAACTACCAGTTCTGAAAGCACGAACTTAATTGCTGGTGGTGTCGACTAAAGCATACATAATTTCGATATTCACTCACAGAGGCAGAATGTGCAGAGGAAACGACTACAAGGCGTCTAGTCTGCGAGATTTCGGTGTTTGTAAGCGGAAACGATATGAAGGCGGTTGGTTCTTTCTTAAGCTAACAGTTCCTACAGATAATGGCCATTATAAGAGCTTGGAGCTGGACCTATTGGGTATCAGTAACTTGTAAAGGCCCGAGGATCCCAAACAAACACGGCTGGTTGAAGCAACCCCCCGGATTATCTCCCAGCCTTACCTCGGAGAAAGAGGAACAATTCTGTGAGGATTCTTGACACCCTGCCGGGACAACGGAAAGAAAGAGGGAAGTCTTAGTGTAACGTGAAACCCGCAGACTGAGCTCCACATGCACGAAGATGCTGCCATTTCAAGCCACAGCCAGAGTTTGACACGCGTAATAATGGTTAGCCTGATCTATGGTCGTGAAGCCGCTGCGAGCTCATCCTGAACCTACCAGAGCTCGTGTTTTGGTGTTTCAATAGAAGAAACTGACGCGGGGGTTACATTGACAGATGCGTGTTCAAGCTCCCCCCGAGTTCCAACGCAAAGCAACAGCGTGAGAGAGCTAGTCCGTCCGACGTACCTGCAACAGTGACACAGTAATTCCGGTTTGCTACGCCGTCAGGATGACGCTCAGCGATTAACTACGAACGAGAACGTCCCAAGAACGCACAGAATTTTTGACACGCCAGAAAATTAAATTTGAGAAATTGGACGTCGTGCTCAGCCGAATAAAAGTCTCGGGTGCGATAGGTTAGGTTAGGTTTTCTGGACTGTGACGCCCCGTCATTTTATATGCGGTTGCAGACGTTTCGGAGCCCACAAGGTGTGATGACCTCAGATTTCAGATGTGTCCTTAAACACAAAAACAGCTGAATAGCTTCTCCGCATCTGAAGACCTATGGGCTCGCGTTATGAAGACTGTTCCCTGACGCTTGCAAAGCCTTAGATCTTCCTCGGGTAACGCCGAGTTATAACAGGACTGAAGTTGCGATGTGTCCGTCTGTGACTTACATCGAACAACAGAATGCCGCTGTAATCGTTGTCTTTATTTTTGTACGAAGCAGCGAACAGTCAGCACGCACACACATTGACTCATAATTCCTCTCAGAAATTGGAACAAAACAAAATTGCTAGTGACAATGAGTAACTCTCAAAAGACCAAACTTCGAATGTAAATACAATTCACAAACAACGTCAAACCTTAGCTTATCAACGGAGATCTCAAAAAAAGTTTCGAATGCTTAATTATTCAGGTAGGCCTACGTGCAGTCACTCTAGAAAAGGCAATTTCGCGCGATAACAGATGGCAGTGTGATGAACCTTTGTGGAAATGAAACCGTCGATAGCCGACGGTCGTTTCGACATTAAATTACGAAGTAAATGTTAGACAAACGGCAAGTCGCGAGACATGACACGTGGCGCCGGACATCTGAATCGAGCAACGCAGAGATACGGCGAAGTTCAAATTCCAAAGTTTATCATTTACAAATAATAACGATTAGTTACGTATATTTATGTAAACGTTAGAGTATTTGAGTTATGATTTCACACATCATGGATGACGGAGGCACGAAGAACCTCTGAAACGTCGGTGAAGACTAAGCGGCCGCAAGTTCCCAGAATACGATTATCATCATACTTAGAATTTGTTTTCCCAGCTTCATTTGAAAAGTCGGAAAGCACGAACTTCAGGCGTCCGCGGACTTGCTCAAAGAAATTTTCGAAACGAATCCAAGACCAATTTTAGAAGCTGAAGAAAGCATTTTCCATGCTCGATCATTTCTTTGCGACTAAATATATCTCAATCAAAACTTTCAACTCGAGATCGGCGTCTTCTCTTCGATTGCAGCTTACAGTAGGCGTCATCACATAAGCGCATGACGTCGATGCATACAAAAATTTGTATCTGTTATGGGAATAAAGCGACATTCTCTGTGCTAAAGCACGAGACGACGCCTAAGATTGTGTCGCGTAGGCCCGACCACCGGCTTCCTTTTGTCATTTTAATCAAAGGCCGCCTCAAACGGAGACCTTGCTTCAGAAATAGAAACAAACTCGTATTTCAGTTCCTTCGTGGCTCAAATGCATAGAAATGGCGAGACGATATCGTGGACAAAACCTACGCAGTGAACTTTTAAGGGCTCGGTACGTCAAATGTTTCCTGAAACTCAGTTAAATGCGGCAAAAGAGAAACATTTCTTTTGTCAAGATCAAAAACACTTCAGAGGCAGTCGCCAGAGATTCGCAAAACAGCAATTGCCACACTGATCCTTGGGCAGCCTGAGGCCGAGGGGGGGGTTTTCAATGTGTATGCAATTTCTTGCTGCAATTGACGTTTCCTCCGCTGACCGACACGCCTCGAAACGTCCAAGTGTGTTCTGTATTGAGTTCATAAGAAAAGCAACACGAAATTCGTCGGAACAAATTTTACCGAAAAATATAACGAACAGCAGAATTTACTTAACAACTTAAACCCGTTTTAAGTCAGTTCTGTAAGTCCGCGTAACTTTTTTGTGAGTAATGCAGAATGTAATACATAGATTACACCGACTCATAATGACATACGTCTCTTTACAGATGCTGTGAATAAGTGATAAATTCTTACGAGACTTGGACGTAGCAAATTCGTGTATTAAACTTGAATAATGAAACACTCTCGTCTTAAGTTTAAGCATTCCCTTTCCATATCCTCTTTCTAAGTGCGTGCGAGTTACATGGACAAAGAAGGTAAACGATTTATTCTGATGCGGGAAGTAAAATGGGCCTAATTATTCGTATCGGAGATTCAGCAATAAATTACAAAAATTATGTACGCTTTGTACACTCGACTTTTGTTCGGGGCAACACGAAAGTGGAATCTGAATTATTCTATTTCTCGTAAATTATGTTTCACGCATTCAGAGTCGGGCCACGTTTTGCCCGCTTCAACTACGAGGCCAGTGTTGATCGCACGTCGTCTTAAAATTCGGTTGATCTGCCGCATTTGATTCGCGTGTGCAATCTCAACTGAGCTGTTGTGTTTCGGAGACGGCAACCAGCGCACGCCGATTCTTTAAGAGACGGAATGTGTCTACGACCAAGTTTCTTCTTTTCGAAAGCTGGTAACAGGAACTCACCTTTGTGCGACGTATCCAAAGTCGATGGAGCGATCGCATGCATTCGATGTTACTAGATCACTACGGCGTGAACACTCGGACCAACAAACGAAAACTTACACCGCGGCGACGCGACACGACCGACCACTCGCGCTGCCGAGAAGCAACTGACTGCCTCCGCCCGCAAGTCGGCGCTAGTCCACGCAGCGACTCGCGTTCGCCCCGCACATTTCGGCCTCCCTCTTCCTCAGTTACTCCGAAGAACGCTTTCAAGCAACAACGACACGCGGATGTTGTATTCCACTCTGTGCCTTGACGTTCGTTTGTTTGACATTTGATGGGAAACTTTGGACGAGATGGGGTGGAGTGGGGGGTGGTTGCGAGGCGTTGCTGCTACCACAACCACAGGAAGGCTCGGACTCACACAGGCCTCGAGTCGGATTCGAACCTGTGATATCAGAGTGTGAGCACCTTGGGAGCAGCGCGGCCACTGATCGATTGATGAAATTCGATGTTTATATGAGAACAGTAAACAGTTCCATCAGAAATACGCATAAGCCTAACGAGATATATTAAACCTGTGGATGTTGGTCGGTCTTCTGGGCCGAAACAGCGTGTGAACTTTCAGGCAGGTTCCAGTGTTCTGAAGGTACACACGGCCTCCGTCTTCAGCCCTGAAGATGGAGGAAGAATGTTACTCCGAAACATTGGTAACTGTCAAGAATCTATTTGAGTGTCAGAAAATAACCAACGGACAACGTCTTAAGACGGATTCCAATAGACGAGAACCGGGCCCTTAACAACGCTCTGGCGACCACATACGTGGAGTTGAGATGCCAGCAATGGCAGATGAGCCTGGTGAATGCACTCCGGAGCTGTGACGGCAGAAAGACTGAAGGAGAGTGGAAGGAACAGGACAAAACAGAAATAAAAATGTAATGACGAAAGGAAACTTGTAATCAAACAGAAGCATCTAACGCGGCTTAAACTCCTCAGCTATTTCCAAGTTTAGGCTACATAGAAATCTGATATTTCTGGAGCGACAAAGGATTCCGTAGAAACATGCTTAGAATAAGTAACTGCCATTAAAGTGACGGGTTGTGGCGACGTGTGGCCTGGTAGAAGGCAACCCACGTCCCAGAGGTCTTCAGACCCAGCATTCATTCTCCTGATGATCGAGGCAATAAGCACCTCTAGAACTCAGGCGAACTTTTGCCAACCTACGCGACGCAACATCGCAGAAGGCAGTTAAGGTCCATCTTTTTCCTCAGTGCACGCGTCACAAACCACAAATGACATTTACCTCAGATCACTGTCATGAATGCTCCTTTGCTGCAATATTCAGAAAATCATCAGGAGAATTTATGTAACGAAACAACAAATATTAGTAACGAATGACAAAAGTTGCAATGAAAACATAAGTCATCTGAAGAAGGAGGCGGCTTAGTTCAGTTACAAATTAAATAACTTAAAATACGCTGTTTTTTATACCAAAACTGGGCTTAAGAAACTGCTCCAGTTAAGTGCTAAAGGCAGTTTCTATCTGCATGTGGGCTTCCTCTGAACAGCGCGATCGGAGACAAGAAATTTGTAGACGTATCGAACACGTCTATTGGGTAATGTTCAAGATTTCGCACTGTGGGCCACCGACAACAAATCCAATCTAAACACGTTAAGTAATTTCCGATAAGACACACGCTTACGGATTGAGATAAATAAAAATTCGGACATAATCTTCTCTCATAATCTGCACTCACTTTCATGCATTCCACAAAGTGGACGGAAGCAGAAGGGGAAATTTTCTTGTGGCACACTGTACAATCTACGACGAAGTAGCTCGTTTACTTTGCTGTGGCGCACTGGAGAAATGTTTTTGCGCCCTGTTGTACTTTGTTCTGAATCTGCGCTTTGAGCCAAGTTAAATCGTTATCCACAAACAGAGACGGAAGTTTCGGAGTGAAGAAACTTCGTCAAATTATATGCGCGTAATAATGTTAATAGAAGTTTTCCTTGGTGCAGCCATAATTATAACACTGCATAACTGGCTCTGTGGCAGAGATTTGAGTTCTCAACATTCAAGTTAAGTTACGCTGTACAGTTGTAGCAAAACGTTTTCATTTGCAAACAAATGCAATCGAGAATCTCCGTATTATTCATGCACCGAACGCAGTTATACTGAAGAACTTTATTTCTAAAAATGCAGCTGAAGTTACGCCTTCTTAATTAACTTCTACTGGAAATGGCACAAACGAGGTACGTCAGTCAATCAAAAAGATTTGCTCCAAATTTCTTTCAGTAAAAATTTATTGTGATCAGATTAAATTTTTATATAGAAACTTTACTTTCAAAAAACTACTTTTATACCTGCTTAGTATCAGTAGACTCTAAATCTCAGCTATTTTCTTTGATGTTTAATCAAGAAAATTACGCGGAGCAAAATTCTTTCAGTGAACTACGTACATACACATTATTTCTTTCTAATATATGTGAAACTAAAAACTTGTGAAACAACGGGTTTCGATTAAAACAAGCCTAAGAACAGAGCGGGCACTGGGGCATAAACATTCGGGCAGCCGACGTAAAGTTGATAAATAGACTTTTAAAAATCAGAGATCTTTCGAAATGACAATGAAAGCATAAACTTCATCCTGACCAGATCATGTTGACTATGACGATAAAGCTGACTAATCCCCAAAACAGTTAAAATACATTTACTTAGCTTCGCCAAATAGTAGCATGTTGACACTACCGGAGGTCTGTACTCGTATGTAGACCAGTGCCTTTGTCTTTGAATTCAGCGTGGACTATTTGTTGTTAAGTTCCGTCTCCATTTTGTGATACCGTGTATTTTCGTTTCTAATTAAATCTGTTTGATTATGAACGGCAGGCAATTAAAAGTTCAACAAAACGTAACTGAATAACTGTATTTTGTTCAACTTGCGTCAGGAGAGTGGCATTTGGCTCCGGCTTCGTAGTCGAAGTTCAGAAACACAGAAAGATGACTTCTCCACTTCGGAGGGCATACACACCTCGTCGTATGCGAGGCAAAGCGTGTATGGGCCTCATTGTTCGTAATTTATCTCACGGGACGTGGATTTGGTCGAATATCGAAACGCAGTTCACGTGTTTCCGATGGACGAGGTAGTGAAAGCCGCGGCTCGTTACAAACACGGGCACGAAGCAAAGTGAAACGTTCTAGACTACGACGTGTTCAGTGACAGCGTAAACAAAATTAAATTTAAGTCTGAAATTAGGTGCATGAACTTCTCATTAGCCAGTGAATAGATTTACTTCAATTAAATTTGATCGAGCAATAAACTTCTAACCATCCAGCGCTCAGTCCTGTTAATATCCAAGCCAGAATCGAAGCTTGAAGCTTGAAGCTTGAAGCCGCTGGACGTGTCTGGCAGCAAGAGAGCAATTATACAAATACAGTCAGCATTCTTATATACTCCTTCGGTAATAGTTCATTCCCGTAAGAGCGTTCTGATTTCGTTCTTATGTTGTCCATAAACGACGTGCACCCAGCCATTGCGTGTCGTTTGCGTCGGCCTACTTAGGCTCATTTATCACAGTCCAGAGCGTGGGTTGGCCGCTCGGATGCTGAGATAATGGGTTCCGATTCCTCTCAAGGCATGGATGTCTGTCCGCGTCTTTCTCTGCTCTGCTGTCCTGTAGATACGGTCTGATCACCCATCCAGGGATCACGCCACTGCCACATGTCATAAGCAGTTCCGAATTCAAACAGGTGATGAGGCCTAATCATCCGTAGGAGTTGATGACGATGTCCCTAACTTCATTGATTTCAACCCTTATTTTACGTGGCATACTCAAGAAAATTCTTTGCCTCTTGCGGAAACCGGAGGTTCAAGCCGCTCAACCTCCCAGGCTTAACTCAATCTACGTCTTGATTCTATGGACCAAATGATATTTCATGAAAAGTAAAAATTATAAAGGTCCGTATTATGTATTTCTTCAACACTACTATTATGTGTTCACAATTTGGTTCAAATATTTCCCTCAACACCCAGTTTTCAAATACCCTCAGACCAATGACAGATGTTCTAATTCTGCGGGAAACACAAACATTGGAATGTACTTATTAAATGCATTCTTCTCATACTTACCGTCCCTTTTAATTTCCGTAAAGAAGACTGTACACACGTACATGATTAAGAGAGAGAGAGAGAGAGAGAGAGAGAGAGAGAGAGAGAGGCGAATTTGAGGATGAAGTCGCAGCCCTTTTGAAGGTCTCACAGCTTTGGTCCAGCATTAAATCTGAAGAACTGACAAAAGTAAATTAATCTGACTGGTCAGAATATCACTCGCGGATATTTGTAAGGGGCCAAAGTTGTTTAACGTTTCGTAACCACGTAGTTGCACATCTCGAAGTACTTTCAACTCCCCGTGTAATCCAAAGTTGGAAGACCGCCACTTGTGGGCTACAAGGCTTTGTATTCAACGCACCAGCAGCT